TAAATTATAGGCATATTGTGTACAATTTTCAGTCAAATATTTTTTCCATTTCGTTATTTTATGGTTTTTTGAATCTAAAACACGTAAAGGTTTAACAACATGTTAATATATTATCATACGATTACCCAATTGTCGGGGGTTTTTTTTTTTAAACTTTTGGTTTGATTTGGTATAAAATATTAATACACAATAATAGGTTTATAAACAAATAATTATAAAAACTGCATTTAATCGAGTACTTAGCTGCACAATTTTAGCAATTCAAATAATTAAGTCTATATTGATGTGTATATAAGACAATAGTTAATAGATAAAAGTATAACCTTTTCACTAGTTGAGTGGAAGGGAAAAAAATTGCCCATACTCTTTCGCGGGAAAGGATTAATGTGAATAAGTGCTGTGATGATCCACTAGAATTGTGTTTTTCACTTTCAAAAATACTCATGCAAATGTTATAATCACATAACCACTGTAAGGAAACGACTTTTGATCATTAAGCCGAAAGTCAAAAATTGCTAAAAAAAAACCCAATGCATTGTAATGTTTGAAATTTGTATTATATTTGGTACCAAAAATACATTTCTCATCACTTAAWCAGTTGTGAATAAGTTAAGTGTCACTGCAGGTGCTATGTGTATAAACCTGGTTTGTTTGTGTGCAAAACAACGGTTGATCATTGATATGCAACAGTAATAATCGTCCAAATAATTTAGAGGAGTCTTCAACAACTAAATATATTTTATKTTTTTTGCAATAATTTTATTTAGCTGGCATTCGCAAATCAAAACTATATCGATCGTCATGACTTCTCTTTAACATTTTGTTATCGTGTTAAACCATTAATTTTTTTTTCAAACTGTTGTTGAAAATTCAAAATTGTCACGATTGTCCATCGATTATATTATTATATTGGTTTTTTTCTAAGAAATCTTTAGACCTGTTAAATTTTATCTCATATTCCTATTGTGTTAATATAATTGATATCTATAGATTGTTTATAACTTGTAAAAAAAAAAGAAACCATTATGATTATTTCGATCTGATCGTCATGAGCCGTTGCAATTTTTGTTGTTGGCTAAGATACCTCACAAAAGAAAGTGCGTTATAAAAAAAAAAATGTAGAAAARTTGATGTTCTCTAAATTGAAAGCAAGCAAGCTGAAAACTCTGATTTCTTTTGGTGGTGTTACGTTCCATCGTCTCCGCCTAAAAGTTTAAATTATTTATTCACATTTTTCTGGTCCACAGCATTTATTAAAAATTATTTCCCCCTTTCTAATCCTATTTATTTCCATATAAGGATCCCCAGACGTGGGTCAAAATTTCTTTCTCCCCCAAGACCAGTTTATTTGAAAATCATATAGTAATTTTGAAAATAATTATTTGTAAATTGATTTTTAAAGTACGCAAACCCAACCATGGAATCGATATAAAAATAACAAGATTTTCGAACAATATTCACTTCTTACTCCCCCTCCCCCATTTTCCAGGCATATGATAACATATAATGCTATTTAAGTACCTGCTATGGTTGGCAAAGGAAAACCGTAAAAAGCCCAACCAACAAATTTGGTTAGTATACCTACTCCAATAATTGCATATTTTACAGTGACAAATTTGCAAACAAAGTTTGTTTGTTTGTTTAGTTGGGTGTTAGATATAGGCAATACTTGAATTGGGGAAAAATTAGAAGGAGCATGAAAAAGCGTAGAAATATTTGCACCTACATACATAAATATTTTTAAAAATAATAAGGAGTGTGCGACTTTCCCCCGCCCTCCAATTTAAAAAATGCGCATAGGCACTATTTCATTTTAAAAATCAATGTTAATAAAATATATTATAATTAGTTATTAATAACTCTCAATAGTTATGTATTATATAAAGAGATAAGCAAAATCTGAAAATTGAAATTTATCGTAGTGGAAAATGAAAATCCCTCCGTGTCGTGGAAACAGACTTKGCAGTTAACCAAACGCCGTTTTTGGCAGAAAATGAGAAAAGTGTTACACCCTGTTAAATCATGATAAAATACTATATATATATATATATTGTACATCTGCGTGTACCAAATTCTAACTATTTGATGCATCGAAAAAATTTAAAAAACACTGACTATATTTTTTTACATAAACACTTAAAATTAGATACACTCAAATATATTACCAAACTTGCTTTATAATATTATATTATTTTCTAACTCAAGTTTAGGTTAGATTATAATTCTATCCA